TGAGTACCTACTAAGGAAAYACCTGGCAGAATTCCATATTTGTTACAGACAGGATGAGGATGTAGCTTATCATTCCAAGATGCATCATGCTTTATGCCTTTGAACATACTCTTCTGTCTGCTTGGTGTCCTTCCTATGCTCTTTTTATCACCTGGCAATTTTTTGCCCATCTATCATGCACGTCTCAAAATTTTCCTCCTCAGGTAAGCCTGCTCTGTCCTCTAAGGTTAACTTTACAATGTTTTCTGCATTCTTTTGTGCATTCTCTCCCCAAAACACACCATTCTATAAGGTGACATGTCTCTCCAAGATTTGACTTTTATGGACTAAGACTTAATTATATCCATTATCCTTTGTACAAAGCAGGTGCTCATTAAATGTTTGTTAAATRAATGACAAGATTAATGTGACAGTATGAAATAAAAAGACAGTTTGGGTAGCCTTTGCTATCATCAGTGTGTGATTTTTTTTTATTTTAAAATCAYTTCTATCTTTTTAGTAAGCCACCAAGCAGGTAGAAGGGGTATGTCAGCTATTCTTGACAAATTTCCCCATTTTTTCTTAGTGAAGCTTCATTGATTATCATTTGTGTACATTTATTTGTCTAAAACAAAACTGATACATGCATAAACCTCAAGAGACGGATAGTGCTGCACTGTAGTCCTGTCTTTTTGGAACACATATCATAGGAGTTACCAATTGCTATACAACAATATTACCTCCAACAGTGGCTTAAAATAACATTATCTCTCAGTTTTAGTAGGTCAGGAAACTGGGTTTGGCTCACTCACGTCCTTGGTTTAGGGTTTTGTAAGGCTGTAATCAAGCAAGCTTACCTTCAGGGTTATAATTTTTTTTGGGGGGGGCGGGTACTGGGGACTGAACCCGGGACATTTAACCACTGGACCACTTCCCCAGCCCTTTTTATTTTTTATTTTGAGACAGGGTCTTGCTAAGTTATTTAGAACCTCACTAAGTTACTGAGACTGACTTCAAACTTGCAATCATCCTGCCATTGTTTCTCTTGGTTATATCAAGTGGTCATGTCAACTGACTSGCCTCTTCCCTCCAGGTTTGTGGAAGTATGCTCTGTGATGTTCACACAATGAGGACATCTCACAATTCTCCTAAGAATTACACAGGAGAATGGCTTCATTAACTTTGGCATAAACAATGATTTCCTAATCAGGATATAATAGCACTTACCATAAAGGAAAAGATTTGGATATTGAATTTCATTAAACACATCACTGTTTCCGTGTTGACGTCAGCTTGACTCAGAATCACTAATTGAAGAGACAGACTGTTCTTTCCCTATTGGTCTTCAATGCTAGTTTTATCATACATCAAGTGTTTCTATATGAATAACTCTCTTTCTGGATCTCTAATTTATCTTGTTGTTTTATAACTGGCTGTGACAGTCTTCCAACTTTGTACTTCTTGATTGTCTTCTCTACCTTTAACCTTTTATCTTTTAAATGAGTTTTAAAACACGGTTGCTTATTTTCACAAAAATTGGCTGTGGTATTATTGAGATTGCAATAAATCTATATATTACTTTAATAAGAATTGACCTCTTGGGTCTTCTGATACATGAACATGGTATATTCCTTATTTTCTTAAGTTTACTTTTTGAATTGTTGTGTTACTCATTTGGAAATATATTTAACTTTTTACATGTTAGCCCTGTACCTAACAACTTTGATGAATTCAGTTCTTAATTCGGGCAGTATAGAAGCAGATCCTTTGGGATTTTCTAAGTTTAAAATTATAAATGGGCCTTTTCTTTCTTCCTAATCTTTGCATCTTATTTTTCCTTTTCCTATTGGACTAGAGGACCCCTGATACAATGTTAACAGATGTGTTTGTTTTGTTTTTGATTTTTTTTTTTTTTAACTCAGGGGCACTCGACCACTGAGCCACATCCCCAGCCCTATTTTGTATTTTATTTAGAGACAGAATCTCACTGAGTTGCTTAGTGCCTTRCTTTTGCTGATGCTGGCTTTGGACCCATAATCCTCCTGCCTCAGCCACCCGAGCCGCTGGGTTATTTTTGATTCTTAAGTTTCATTATTTCACTATTAAGTCTGATACTTGCTGTAAGTTCTGATATATACCTCTTATTAGATTAAGAACATCACTTTCTATGTCAAGCTTGTCAAGTTTTCTTTTTTTAAATCAAGAGGGATTATTGAGCTTTATCACAATTTTTTTGCATCTTTTGAAATTAGCAATTTAATGATGTGATTAATATGGATTGACTTTTGAATGTTAAATCAACTTTATATTTCTGAAATACACTCAATTTGTTTAAAATTTATTATTGTTTGTCTGTACAACTGTTTACTTATTTTTCCCTAACATTTCTATCTAGGATATCATATCAATGTTCATGAAACATATTAGCCTATATTTTTTTCTTCTGACATTGTTYTTATCTGCAACCTTTTGCTGATTTTTTTAAAATAAGTAATTAAATTTCAATTATCTGTAAGAATTGGAAAGATTAGTACTATTTCCTCTTTGTATATTTGGAAATATTAAATGCTTAATCTATCTGGGCCTGGGGGTTTCTTTGTTGGAAGATTATAGACTTAGTGGATAGAAAAGATGTTTTCTTAGTTGATAGAAAATGTTTTGCATATCTTATAAGCATTTGGAAGGTTTTGGTTTTGCTAGGAATTTCTCCCTTTTTCCTTAAAGTTTTTTAATGTRATTTTTTTGTATTCTATTTTTGACTTAGGATCTTTTGACTTTATCTTGAGTACTTCCAGTCTTTACTGTCTTTGAGTTCAATTTATTGGTATATATTTTTACATGTTGGTATGAATAGATAATTGAATTTTAGCCTTTATTTTTTTCTAATATCTACTTAAGATTTTAAGTTTCTACCTTGAGGTATGTGGGTTGGAGATGGGGGAATGCCCTAGCATGGAAGTGCAAGGAATTCTCTGCATATTTGACACTGCCCTTACAGCTTTCTTGGATTCTGTTCTTATATAAATCTGGTTAGCCATTTCCAGGCATGATCAAACCAAAAGGGAAACAATGACTCTAAGGACAATAATTTTATCATTATCAAATACACTCTTATGCTGTATAGCAATGTTTTTGGCCAAGGATGGTTGGAAAGTACAATTGTGGTGCCATAAGATTACCTTGCCTAGTGACCTTGTGTTCATCTTCTGTAGGTTTGTGTAAATTCACCCTACGATGTTCACAGAATGATGAGGTCACTCAAGGATGCAGTCCTCAGAAGGTATCCCTGTTGTTGAGTGACACATGACTGTGGTCTCCTTTGCTTTACTGGCTAACGGAATGCAGAACCCTTGAGGTCTTGCCATTTTATAGATTGCTATAGCAATGGAAATGCAATCCGAGTTGAGGGATATCCAAGGAAGGATTGGCAGAACTGGACCAAGAACTACTGAAGGATTGGCAGAACTGGACCAAGAACTACTGAAAGAGACTTAAGAAGGGCCAAAAAATAGTACTTTATTCATTCAATGATTATTTATTAAGTGACTATTATGTGCAACCTACTGAAATGGGAATTGTTGAATAACAGACAGGAAGAGTCCTGGTAGAGGTCATAAACCTTGGGGACTGCCAAACTTCCTTGACTCCTATTATTAGGACCCAATAAGGAAAGTTCTTAGCTAACATATTCTAAAACATATTCGAATATGGATGTTTTTACAAGAAGGGCTGTCTCTTGGGACATCTTTCTTTGTCCCACTTTTTTGTTTCAACTGTGTCACTGAGGCAAATTATTCAATTTTTTATTAGGTAATGTTCCTCAGTTTCTGTAAAAAGCTTTCCTCATGCCTTAAATCAGAGCTTTTGGAGAAATAAATGAGATTTTTCTTATTCATTTCTTCCCATTGTGCCTGGCACAATCCATGGCAGACATTACTRTTATCTCTTATAGATTTTTAAATTTTTTTCTCCCATCCTTTACATATCCTTTCTATTTCTCCCTATCTTCTCTTTTCCTTCCATATAACTTACTCTAATAAAAAAACAAGAGAATTATTTTCATTGTATTAATAAAATTTACTGAAAAGGTATGTTTCCTATTCTGGATTTTAAAATTAAATGCATATATATATATATATATCCATTGAAGATTTATATATGTGAAATGCCAATAAGTATATAAATGTTCTATATTATAATATATATTTACATATCATGTACGAATATATAAATATTATATTTAATATCATGTTAGATTTAATATTATATATTAATGTTTAAGAATATTTAATATTATTTTTATTGTATGATATGTAAATTCTATACATACTCTACATAATAATATATTATACATATTATATGTACCTAATACATATGTGTATTATATGTGTGTTTCATTGGAGATATATWTATATCCAATTTTAAATAAACACCCAAAATTAAAATAATAGAATTCTCATGGTGGAGAGAAGGCTCATTCACATTTCCCAGCTACACATTTTTTTTTCTCTTCAGTTTTAAAAATGTATTTTCTGCAAGTCAACATAACTAAGTCTAATAGAACCAGATCATAAGCATGTTGATTAATTCCCTTTGGAATTAGTGAAATTAGAGAAAAAAAATTAAAATTCATTCATATCATCAAACATGTTTACTGAATGTGGTCCACTTTATATCAAAAGGTTTTCTTTCCTTGAATAAATGTTCTAAGATAAATTTTTGATTACTTAGAATAAAAAGAAACAAATGACATACTTCTAAGTACAAAATAATACAGCAAATTCTTAGACATGCTTAGAGTGACCTAAAATTATGCTCATWGAAAAGATTTGAAACAGGACCTAAAATCCACATGTAAATTTTTTTTTTTTTGTATCAGAGATTAAACCCAGGGATACTTAACCACTGAGCCACATCCTTGGCCCAGCCCTCTTTTGTATTTTTTTATTTCAGAGACAGGGTCTTACCGAGTTGCTTAGGACCTCACTGAGTTGCCAAGGCTGGCTTTGAACTCAGGATCCTCCTGCCTCAGCCTCCAGAGCCACTGGGATGATTCGCAYGCACCACGGCGCCCAGCTCCGTATGCAAAATTACAGTAAGCCTTTTACTTTATTTACTTTTGACTATTTCATAAACCCTGTAAGTGAAATTGAATATGGCTTGTGATGGACCATAGACATTTAAGCCCYTTCATTAGATGCTTCTTTTGTGATCGAACCTTTCTGAGGGTACATATGGTGTCTCCTTCAGCTACCAATATAATATCAACTATTTAAAAACTATTTTTGTACAACATCACATAAAAATTAATGGGTGTTTTAGGCCTACTAAATTTGCCTAGGAAGAAGAGAATGTGCTGTGATAGAGGGGGAATCCTGGGAAAATGTGCTAGATCACATGACAGTATTGGTACACCTGTCTTCACCCTCCTATGAATACAGAGCAGGTAAAATTTCTTTAGCTCTTTGGGCTCCAAGTGGAGCCTTTGTACGTGTGCAAGTGTGTTTGTGTGGGTATGGGCACACCCAAACGCCACATACCCTTTTGTTCTCTTTGTTCCTCAGAGGCACACACACATGTTAATACAGTTGGAGATGATGAAAGCTCTCATTTTTCAGATGCCAGAAAAAGAGTTGCTTCAACATGGAATCAATAGCCGCCGTGTTGAGTTCAAGTTGGAATTCATTCCTAGTGCACCCAGCGAGTTCACTTGGATGATTGCTATGCATCACTCAGCACTCCTTCTAAGGGACATTGACAGAAGGAGAAGCCTAGAAGCCATCTATCATCAGTGCATGATGTGGCTTCCCAGCTGTCAATGACCATGTAGACATCAAACCAGAAGGATTCAAAACTGTTATTACAGCATATTTTCATGTAGATCTTTTTTTTTCCTCTGTGAATGGGTCTAGTCAAATTTAAAAGCCACAATCAAAAACCAAAAACCAAAAAAAAAAAAAAAAAAAACCACAAAAACTACTTGGAGTAGCCTAGTAGAAATTCACTGTGGGGAAAAAATATCAGATTTAAAAAAAAAAAAAGTAATGGGGCCAGTTTGTGGTCTCCTTTTATTACCCAAAGATTTATCACATTCATTGTATAATGAAATCTCTACATCTGTGGGGCACAAATGTTTTATGTTTCCAACATTTATGGTTTGACATCGGAAACATCTGTGCAAGCCCAGTATACAACATCTGGAAGACATTGCTGAGCTTTTATGACATGCAGAGGGAACTTTGTTTTGGAACAAGTGTGTGGTTTTCTCCAGTAGCTCTTCCTGCTGGTAATGTCCCTCTAATTGGCATTTTGCTGGAGGATTGAAAGAAGCCCTGGCTTCCTGACCTCCCACTGGGCGTAAGAAGATGCTTCAGAAGAATCTTCCCTGAGTGGAGATTCATAGGGAGGAGAAGATGCTGACTAATGGGTTTAGCTGGCTTAAGCCAGGATTCATTGATCCAGGGAAGCCTGTTGGTTGTGTTACTGGGGCAGAACTGTCCTGGATGATTTTTTTTTTCAGATTAAGACATTGATGAGAAAGGGAACATCACTGTCGTCATTCATCAGGGTGGAAACTAAGTTTCAGAGATTTTCATTTACTTGAAGTTGCCCAATTAATAAGACAGGCATTTGAACGGAGGCTTGTCTCCAACATTGTATTAGAATGTGGCGGCCTTGTTTCTTAAGAGAGAAGGAGGTAGCTTAACATTCACCTAGTATTTTGTTTCTGAGCACCTACTAGGTGTTAGGAAGCATTCTAGGTACTTAGGATAGATCAACGGACAAAACAGATAAAATTTTTCATGAAGCTTGCATTCATGCAATAACAAAGGCAGAGCGATGCACTTATATGCTTACCTAGCACAACGGAATGACGATAAATAATAAACACACAAGTTATCTTGTAGGTATGTAGGGGATGGTTGCTGTGAAAGAACTAGCTCTGGATTCAGGAATGTCATAGGAGGGTTATTTTAGTTTGGGTTCCCCTCSGCAGAGTTACAACAAGATCTTGGAAATGGGTAGTCTATTTGGGAAGAAGTGATCCAGAATGCAGGGGGGAGAAAGGCCCATAAATGACAAATTAGAGAACTGATTAATCACGATGGACAACTGGGTCTCAGTTTCCCTTGAAATTCTCTAAAGAACTACCTAGAACACACATATGTCCTACAGCATATTGGGAAGCTTAGGACTTCAGTGGTTCAAGGTTGATCCTGAGGAGTGTCCACATCCCTAAACTTTCAAGTTGTGTCTGCATAGAGTGAAAGTTTTCTGTGCTTCAAAGCAGAAAAACAGAAAGTTGCCAGGTACATGCTTTTAGCACCAGATGCTGCAGAGATGGCCAGAGCATGCTGAGTTCAGTGCCCCAGAGCCATTGACCTAGCATAGGGACGTCCCCGTAGATCTCTGTGATATGAAAGAGGGTGAGGGTGAGCCTAGCAGCTCTCTGGATAAAACAGCATCCTGGACAGATGCAGAGCCAGTTTGGAAGCCCCCGTGGGAGAGGATATTGGAGAACACCTGGCACAGTCAAGGAACCTGGAATAGACCTGGGATAGAGTGACCATGAATGAGAGTAATAAGGGATGAGGTCAGTGGGTGGCAGAGGACCAGATCACGTACGCCTGTGGATTACTGTAATGATTTTTGGCTTTTGCCATAAAAGAACAGGAGAGCCATTAGAGAGTTTGGACAGAGGAGAGACCTAACGTAGATGAAAATCCATTATTCTTTCTGCTACTCGAGAATGGACTGTAAGGGGGAGGGTGATGAGTTGGCTGGGATCGGGGTAGAGCTGTGGACTGGTGAGGAGGAGATGGATTTAGGAGATGCTCCAAAGGTAGAGCCAGCAGGTTTTCCTGGTAGCTTGGATAYGAACCATGAGCTAAGGGAAGGTGGAGTATGAGTATTTTGGTCTCCACCAGTAGAACAATATAATTGCTGTTAAGTGAGATGGAAAAGGCAGGAGAAGGTACCAATCGGAGGAGAAAGATCAGAGTTCACATTTGGACATTTACAGTTTGAAGTGGATATTTGGTGTTAAAAAAAAATTTAAAAGAGCAGCCAAGGAGGAAATTGGATCCGGATCCGAGTCTGGAGTTGAGCATGAAGCCGGGGTTGGAGATACAATTGTGGGAACCCTTAGCTTTACAGACAGGCTTCAAAGCCAGGAGACTGAATGAGATCAGCAGAAGAGGAGCTCTCCAAAGAGCGTGCCCTGGGGCCGTCCAACATTTCTAAGTCAGGGAGAAAAGGAGGCCAAAAGAGCGGATGGAGAAAAGTGTGGCCAGTGAAGGGCGGGGAGGCCAAGAGAAAGTTGTGTCTGTGAAGCCAGATTGGATKCGACTTAAGAGGGAATTGGAAGAGAGTAATCTGAGAGAGGGAATTAAAARCAACTACTTGGAGGTAGTTTGCTGACACATGGAGCCCCTAGATGGGAAGTAGAGACAAGGGAGGGTCTTTTTTTTTTTTTTTTTCCTTTGAGGAGTGATAATAATTTTTCTTCTGATGAGAGTGATCTGGCATTTCTTTTTTGAAGGAGGACAAAAAAAGAAGATAGAGAAGAGAGGAGAATTGCTGGATCCACATCCTACTGACTGCAATCAAGAAGCGACGGGTATAAATCTTGAGGAGCATTGTAGCCTTGGATCAGAAAAATGTATTTCATCATTTTAACAAGAGCGATATGGGCTATAGATCCTGCAGGAGGCAGAGATGTGTTGACAGGAGCTTGTGGACGTCTTTTCCGATTGCTTCAGTTTCCTCGGTACAGACAGACACAAGGCCTTGGTGTYGATGTTGAGAAGACAGAGGTGTGACATTTACCTAAGAGAGGGACAGGGAGAATGAACCAGTGGAAAATTGTACAGTTGCCASAAAACTTCATGCAGGGTCCATTTAAGGCTCATGGTCATAAATACCTTTTTTTTTTTTTTTTAAGCAAAGTAGGTAGAACTCACAAAGCAATCATGAAAGAATGAGACACAAGAGTGGAGTCAATGATACTGGCAGGTTAGGATCCCCTGCTGTCTTCTCCTTGGGTGTATTTCTACCCTATCTATCTATACTATGATATAGGGGAACAGGGAATAGGCTATATTCCCACTCTAATTAACTTCAATGGGAATTGACAGGGCTTTGGGGGATCAGTTGGACTAGGTCAAATTTCGAACATATCTGCATTCCTCCATCTGGTCATATTGCAGTGCACAGCTCAAAGACCCCTACCTCCAACCCCTACCTCTGCAGGACTTAAGCATTCAGCTCCCTGGCTGCTTGGAGAGCTGTCACCATGGCTGCTTCTCAGAGGAGTTGCTCTCTGGGAAGAATCCTCAGTTAAAGAGAGCCCCCTCTCATTGGAAGCATCCCACACCCTCCGATTGTTCAGAGAGAAGTCAGTWTGAAGGCCCACCATCTTGCCTCAATGGGGGGGTCCTTTGGCAAGGTCATCCCTGTGAACTCAGCTGACACCTCTGTTGTGGCGACATCTCAGCTGAACAATTACCTTTGACCCATCCTACTTGCCTTCACTCTTCAACACCCGAAATGGGATGACTTTTAAGACACCCCCATCATCTTTTTCGGCTTCAATCACTCTCTTAGTCTATTTACCAGGGAACCCAACCCACCACAACCTCTGATTCAGAGATCGTACAAGGAGGCATTTATCAAGAGGAAATAAGTAGGGATGCAAAGATTTAGCTGACATATTGCTTATAATAGGGCAAAACTGAAATGAATTCGATAACAGGAGAGACTGCTTAAATTATTTATGGTATGCCCATATTATAGAGGCATCAATCTATTATACATACATATTTAAAGACATGGAAAGAKTTTCACAATATTTTGTTGAATGAAAAAAAAAATGCCAGTTACATGCAGCAAGTTCACTGGGACCTCATTAAAATGATCTGTATGAATACATTCATATGAAATATATGTGCCCTGAGAGATCTCAAAAAAAAAATCACCAAGGTCTTTAACGTGGTTAATGGGTGTTAGAATGATGGGTGGCTTAAATAATTTCTTTCCTCTTTGTCCATATGGGTTGTCTCATTTTTCTATGCTGACTATCCGTTGCTTTTGTAATAAGAAAAAAACAAATATTATTTTAATTGGAAGAAAAGAGAATTAAAATCGTTTTATCTTCTGCATAAGAGGAGCAGATGCAGCAAACTCCCAGGATGAGCAGATGAAGCTTAGTCACACACACACAACGAGAATGAACTTCATTTCCAGACCTCACAAGAGGTGTCTCAAGGCATCATGTGGATGGTTGTGCCTCTAGTTCCAAAATGCAGGATGCATGATYTTTTCAAAGGTGCCTGTGCCACTTGGCACATCTGCCTCAGAGATGGTCTCAGAAGTACGGTTTAGTTGCAGAAATGCTGGAAAGTTTCCAGAACACTTCAGTAATGTCTGGAAACAATACACAGAATATTTGGGATCAAGACATTTCAACAAAATCTGTCTTCAACAATGACCATAACTATAGATATTTYTGTTCTTATCACAGGGACCCTGTGAGAGATGCCAACATCATGTCACAACTTTTGATAAATCCTCACATCTACGATTCCCAGGATTCATTCATTTATATGCYATCTTCTTGATTTGATGTGTGTACCATCTATAATATTACTTTGTCAATGCTCTTCCTTCAAGAGACTCTTGGTAGAAATCTGAAAATTTCCTTAGSCTCATTCAAAATAATGCTATTCCAGATAAAACTGACTTAAATTTCTAGTAATAWTTTTTTTGGTAAACATTAAAATAAGTACATAACTATCAAAATAGAAAATGTTTGTCCACGTACCTCTGAAAAATCATCTCTTGCATTTGTACCAGGCTTTGGGAACACACCGCACTTGGTTGTCAGGATCTGAAAGAACAGACATTTTGGGGGTCTCTGGTGGTCCTGCTGAGCTGGGAGGAGAGAGACAAGGAGTTCAAAAACATTTGGCCTGGCCCGTTCTCAGCACAGGCAAACCCTGACTTCTGCCAAAAATGTACTTGTCTGTCAGTCACTCATGTGGAACAAGAACACATTTTATGTTAAATGGGKTTTTTTATGAGCTGGTGGGAGAAGGCAATCACCACATAGAAAAGTAAATTTTTATGGACTTCTTACTCTGAGGATGCTAGATGCCACCGCAGACAGGATTTRTGTATTTGTTTTGGCCAAGGAGAGCTTATATACTGGTACCTGACACCTCGTTGTTAGCAATGAATGTTTTCTAAATTTAGTTGACAAAAACCATGAAAAAAACTTCTTCTTCAATTATCTTGGAAATTTTARAAAGAGCATGATTCTTGTTTGACATCGAATTCAGAATTCACCTTGGGAGAACAGGCCCCAGGAAACGAGAGAAAAAAAATATCAAGGATGCTGGTATCTCTTTTGGAGGACTGATGCTTCACGCCCCCCAGCCCTATCCCCCCGAAAAAAAAATAGGTGATGACAATTATCATGGATTTCAAACTATMCCAATAAATCAAATTCTTTATTTGTAGAGCTCAATATGTGGGAAACACTCAATGAATTCTCATTCTTTAGTCCAAAATCTATCATTTGGCATTGATTAAAAATGCCAACTATTGGAGAAACTTCTCATTATGTAAGCTCTATGGTTGATCTTCTTTCTTATTGGAAACAAATCAATACAACAAAAAAAGTTAATTCATTGCCATTTTCACAGACCTCTCATCTTGATCCACCAGGCCAACCCTAACATACTTTTTTATTTATAATCCTAAAGAAGTACTGATAGTAATAGTTCCAATGAGTGTCTCATATACAAATATATTTATACCAGCTAAGTAGGAGCCCTCAAAGATTAATCAGTTGAAAATGTTTATTAATAGCCTATCTACTCAAGTGTGGGGGCATGAAAGAGGGGCTTGCAGAGATTTGGATTTATTTTGTAAGCTATTAAAATTCTGTGAAGATATAAGGAATAGTATTTATTAGTATATTGAAATCCATGTGTGGTAGACTGTTCCTTGGATGGGTCCTGGATTCCATGTCCTAGTGTGTGRGAGACCAACCTTGCAGGTGACTGAGTTAACTCCCCTGCTGGGCGATGTGGTCTCAGACATCCATGTTGCTAGACTGCCTTGCTCTTCTAGGGTTCCAATGACTTGTGTCTTCCTACAGCCCCATGAGTGGAGCTATGCTCACCTGTTCCTTTGTAATGTAATCCCTTACCCTGTTTAGGATAGAATSTTCCATGGAAGTGCCTTGTGTGTGTCCCCTTCTCTTACTGTGCCCTTGGGTGTGGCCTACCCAGGTGTCAGTCAACCTGCTGACAGTGGACATCATGAAGATAGACTCAGCCCCCTGAAACCTGACCCCTTGCCTCATTTAAATAGCTTCTCCTCAATAAAGGGGTCAGCGCGCGCGCTCTCTCTCTCTCTCTCTCTCTCTCTCTCTCTCTCTCTCTCTCTCCCTGCAGACCCTTAAGGTCACAGGAACCGTCACATCGACCCCAAATAAAAAGGTATTTGTGTCTCTTGTGTGGTTATTTTGCACAGCCCAGTCAGCCCAGATTCCCTGGAGTGACCCCTGAGCCTTTTAGTTGTGAGAACAGAAACCCAGCTCTAGTGTATCCCCTCCCATTAAATTATGGCCACCCTGAAACCTGCTTTATCCAATAATATGTGGAAGAAATGACGCTGGTTTGGTTCTCCACCTGTGTCTTCAGAGGGCCTAGAAACTTGCATGTCTGAGGGGAAACCATTCAGCAAGCCACAATTCCTAGGACCTGAGACCATTCTGTTGAGAAGAGATCAAATCAGCCATGTTGAAAGTTCACGTGGAAGGGAACTTAGTCTCCAGTCAACTGACAGAGGCATTTCACAACTATCATTCAGCACTCACTAACTATTCCACCACGGGAGTGGAACCATCTTGGAAATGGATCCCAGGGCTCCACTGGAGCCTCCTCAACAGATGTCATGTGGAACAGATGGCTAGTGTACCCGATTGCTAGGGTTGCTACAACAAAGACACGAAAAATGGCTGACCTAAGACCACAGAGATTTATTCCCTCTGAAGGCTTTAGGGGAGAAYCCTTCCTCACTTCTTCCAGCTTTAGGTAGCCCCAGCTCTTCCTTGGATTGTGGAAACAAAATTCCAATCTCTGCCTCTATCTTCCCATGGCTACCTTCCCTCTCTAGCTGTGTCTCAAGATTCTTCTTTCCATAAAGACACCCGTCATTGGACTAGGGCCCACCCTCATGCTCTCATCTTGATGACATCTACAAAGACCCTATTTCCAAATAAGGTCACATTCATCAGTTCTGAGGGTKAGGATTTCAACATATCTTTGGGGGGACATAATTCAATCCCTAACAAGCTATCCACATTGAGCCCTGCTCGAACTGAAGAYTGCAAGCAAATCAATGGATGGACTGCTGTTTCAGCCACTGAGTTTTGGATTACTCTGTCATGTATTTGTAAATCACGGACACACCAGGTTACAGTCCTTTGATGCCCTCCCCTAAAGAAGCACTGCCATTCCCTGCATCTCATTTCTTTTTTTCTTTCTCTCACTTTTTACTCCTCAGACTGTTCCTGATGTAGGAAAGGGGGAGGTCCACAGTCCTGCTTTGTATTCATTTCTAATCACCCCTCATTTTCTCAATCCYGAGAAAGCTTGCATTGGGAGTCATGTCATTTCTTAATTTCCTACTATGATTATTCCAATTAGATACCAAACTCTTCTTTTTCTGCATTCTCACGTACCAGGGTTTTCTCTTTTTTAGATCTTACTGTACATCTGAACTTATGATAGCTGCAAACTTCTGGCTGGTCTCTTCTTCCATTTTTTATTCTACACTGTCTCTCTTTCCATATGGATTTGATACTGGACATTATCCTCGTGAGTGGAGGTGAGTCTTGGGTTTGTGCTGAGAAGCCAGAAGGGGTCATCTGGGCCACATCGTAAGTGGTATGGTTTTTAAAAAATGTGTGCTCAGCCCATATTGACTTAATTGAATGTGGGGAGGTAAGAATGAAAGGTGGAGTTGAGTAGTTGGAGGGAATTAAGATGGAAAAGAATGGATTACTAGAACAGAAATGAAACTATGAGTAACTCTAGTTAATCTTTCTTCTATCCCATCCTAAGTTCCCTGTCACCCTTAGGCATCTGAATCCTGGCTCATATCATTACTCATCCTAAAAATTATCTCCTCTCCCTTTTATATTTACCCACATCATCTTTTCCTTCAAGATCCCAATCAAGAATTCATGGCTTGTTCTCCATACTCTCTGGTCACCTTGAGTCTCTGCATTTCAGCCATTTTYCCCCCGTGCATTGTTAACTATCCTCACATCAACCCCAACATACACATGTGTGCACAGGGGTAGACTTTGGAGCCATCCAGGTTTATCTGACTTGAATTGCTACTGCTTAAAGACATCAAGAGCTGAGAGTGGGAGAAAGGTCCAAGACGGTTCCCTGAAGTCTTAGGATCAAAGGAGATCAGAGGAGCACGGGAGCAAGCATTTGAAGGCAGGTACCTTCAACACCCAGTAGTTTACAACTCTCCAGAAAGTTTTAGGCTTCACAAGTTCAGTTATTTCCTCAGGCAAATAAACAGTTTTATGTAGACCTTTCAGTACCTGCTTGATGCACCAAAAAAGAGCAAACAAGGGATAGAATGAGAAGGTTAATTTCCAAGAAAGCTGTACCTATTCATGARCAGCTTGTGAGAAAAGTACCTCTTCTTTGATTATAAGTATATAATCATRTATGCCAACATTTTGGAAGGCGTAGATGGGCTTAAATCCAGGGGTGCTTTACCTTTTTATTTTTTATCTTGAGACAAGGTCTTGCTAAGTTTCTCAGGACCTCAATTAGTTGCCAAGGCTGGCTTTGAACTTGTGATCCTCCTGCCTCAGCCTCCCCAGGCCCTGAGATTACAGGCATGAACCACCGCRCCCAGCTGTGCCAACTAAGAAGCAGAAGAATTCTATTATGAGGGGACACTGATATTGTTTTAAGGAAAAAGACTCATTCATTTATTTGTGCATTCATATACAAGAAATACACTGAACAACAGTTTTGTATGTGCTGTTGGATGTCTTAAATTAGGTTCCCTGGAGAAGACCCGAGTCAAGGGTTTTTTTGCACCTCTTAAGAACGTTTTCCCAGCATAGCCTGAAGCCAGAGGTAGATTCTATGAGTTTCTGAGAAGCTCAGTGGACGTTCTAGGGTTATGTTAGCACAGAAATTTCCTTTTCTGTTTTGAAGACGCAAGAAACTGACAGTCAAGAAGCTTTGGTCCAACTCTAGATTAGTTCTCTCAAAACTTTCCTGAAATCTCTTGAAACARTCAGGTAATATAACATATAATTTGAACAAAGTCACAAAGAGAACCTTCTACAGGATAAGAACCTGAAGAAGTTGTTGCAGAACTGAACACTGCTACCTCTGGAGATTCCCAACTATGATAACCAAACTGGATCCTTGAGTTCTTGTAGTAACCACTCTGTCTCYGACAGAATCCAATCAATGCTGGATTGAAACGCAAATATGGCCTTTTATTAATTTAGGACTTCACTTGTGAGTATTTACATAACAACATAACATTTACATAACCATGTGTCTCCTTTGGAACTGAAGAAAGTRGTGCTCAGGCATAGTACTGAAAAAGTTAGTTGTCTCTGATCCAGTTCCTACCAAAATAAGTACCGATGAAATAATCTAAGACTCCAGTTTAAAGGCATGGCATCTTGTTGTCTGGCTATGATACCAAATAGTTGGGTTGTCCAAAGTACCCACATGATTGACCTGGCTTATGTGAGAAATCCTCTGCTGGGGGAAAGCAGGCCTGGGCTCAGCACATAACAATGACATGTTCCAGGGGATCAAACAGTTGAACTGTTAGAGAAAAAATTCTACACCTCATCCATCACTCATTGGTTCATTCAACAAATGTTTACACAGTCCCTGACAC